TCCAATTCAGTTGGTCTCCGGGAGGATCCAAAATTTGAGTGTCTAACAAATTCCCAGATGATGACAAGGACCACACTTTGGAAAGTAGTGACCAAGAAGCTACAAAGATGGTGTAAGGCATAACCCCTCATTTTAAGAAATTTAAAGTTTGTCAACAAAGGACCAAGAAACATTTAACAGTGGAAAATATTCATAATGCTTTGTTATCCATTCATGCAGCAGATGCTGAATGCATACTATGTGCCCATTGCTATTGTTCATGCTATTATTACATTAATGACCAGGATAGACCAAAATCTTGATTTTCATGGTAGAATTATAATGGGAGATAACAGAAAATGAACAAAATATTAAAATATAAGGTACTTGTAAGTACTCAGAAGAAAAACAGAGGAAAAGATACCCAGGGTTATCATTGGTTTTCAGGTTCCACCATTTGATGGTGATACAGTCACAAATAACAAGGAGTAAACCATGCTTTCATAGGATGGACATGAATACTCAGGAATCTGGGGACCTGTGATTTGGGTGTTAATTTCAATGAGCATTGTTTAACTATTAATAGCTACTTCTACTTTCTGAGCTTTGGTTGCTCCATCTGTTCCATGTAACACTTGCACAAAATTATGTCTGAAATTCTCTACCTTTCAAACAGTGTAGGATACTAAGTCCTTCAGGCAATCTAAATCAAGAAAATGAGCTAGACACTGTAGATCAAGCCATAATCCTAGAATGTGCTAGACTAAGGCAGGAGGCTATCAAGTTAATTTTCAAGCTTTTTCAAGTCCTGAAAAATTACATAAATTTCCCCAATAGTGCTTTCATGTACCTAAACTAATTAAAATGTTACTATTTAGTTCCAAGGTTTTGAAAGCTTGAGACATGAATTATAAAAGAAAAATTATTTCTATTTTTCCTTGTTCTATGTTGTCCCATTTAATAGCTAGTTGTTGTTTAGCATAATATAATATATATGTATATGTACATATTATGTGCACACATGTACATGCTTGTACAGTCATAGGTAACCAAAGCTTCTTGAAAATTAACCAATTTATTTTTATTTTTGATCAATTGATGAATACCCATATCTTTTGTGTGCTTATGTGCACTGATATCTTTCTTGCACAATTAAAGACTGTCTGGGGATCAGAGAATGGAGCTTGCCACTCTAGCTAACCATAGAGGTCTAGAGGTCTGTACAAACAGGCAGAAAGTGATATAGCTGGACAGAAACTGCCACTAGCTAACCATAGAGGTCTGGAGGTCTGTACAGACAGGTAGGAAGTGATGTAGTGGGGCAGTAATAGTATGTAAGCAAGGACAAACAGGAAATCGCTCTCTTCTCTGTGGAGATGCTTAGGAGGTAAGGTGTTCTGTGGCTTGCCCCTTCTCTCTGATGTCTCAGCATTTCCCTCTATATCTGACACCTGCCTTTTATTATCTAGACCAATTGAGTACTCCATTTACACTTATGTTTCCCAAAACCTTTAACATAAAATCTTTCTCTTAGAAGCAGTTACTCTGATTTGGGTGTGGTGATGCACACCTGTAATGTCAACTTAGGACAGAAAGAAGGACAGTGAGCTCCAGAACAAACTGGGCTACGTAGTGAGTTCCAGTTTAGCCACAACTACATAGAAAGACTCTGTCATAAGACAAAGCAGCAGCTATTCTGGAAGACTTCAGTAATAGTGGATTTACTGTTCAAACAGTGGATCATATAGACCTACAGCAGTGGTTCTTGACCTTCCTAATGCTGTGACTAACAGTTCTTCATGTTGTGGTGACCCCCCCACCAGCCATAAAATTATTCTTGTTGTTGCTTCATAACTGTAATTTTGCAACTGTTAAAATCGTAACATAGAGTTTTTCTGAAGGTCTTAGGCAACCCCTGTGAAGGGGTCATTCAATACCCCAAAAGGGGTCGTGACCCACAGGTTGAGAACTACTGATCTAGACAAAGTTGTGTCAGATCAAAATTACAGACAGTGCTATGCTGTTTTATTACTAGAGCTCTGTAATACAGCCTGAAATGTGGTGTGGGAATCCCCTTAAGCATTATTCTTTTTACTTCAGATTGCTTTGGATTCCATACGAATTTTAGAATTTTTCTGATCTACATACCTGTGTATATATGTTTATGGGTTTGTGTGTGTGTGTGTGTGTGTGTGTGTGTGTGTGTGTGTGTGTGTGTGTGTGTGTGTACAAAAAAAAACAAACTAAAGAAGAGATCATAAATGAAAGTGAATGATGAGGGACATGGGAGAAATTGGAAGGGTAGGGAGGAGTGGAACTAACTATAGTAAATAGAGCACTCATATATGAATTTATAAAACTGTAAAAGAGACAGCATCTTGGCTATTTCTTGCATAAATACTCTAACCATAGCGAGTTTAGCTTTTACTTTTAAATCAATTCATAGCTTCTCAGAGACATAATTGTGAACTTAAGTCTTGACCAATGAAAACTTTAAAATTCATTGTTTAAGGATAGTATAAACACATGTTAAATACGATCTGTAAAATACTTTACTGTCACTAGAATAAAATAAGCGAGAGTGATGATGACTATTATTAAGGTAAAAAGCTATTATTTTCCCTTTTATATTCCAAATTCTGGACAGTTTTAGTTACCAGTTGATCTATTTAGAAGCTGATAACTTTCTTGTGACTTGTTTTGAATCATGAGACCCACCCAGAGAAATCGTTCAGTGCTATTTCTTAAAGGGTAGCCACAAGAGCTAAAATGCCTTGAGAATTTTAGAAACATGGTTCCAAAAATGTGGCTGGGTCAAAAGGGTGATATTTTTCCCTTCTATGTATGTTTGATTCTTTCTTTATTTCTTTTTAATAAACAGGGGATGGAGAATTGTCATGGGAACATTCTGATGGTGATATCTTCCGGCAACCTGCCAACAGAGAAGCAGTAAGTGTGAAGAGCTCCAAGATTTCCACACTCTACAGCAGCAAGCCAAGCTTTTTCCCCCATGGAAAAAGTCTCCATCAAATCCAAAAATGGACCCATTTCTAACATCATATTTTTCTCCTTCCTCAGAAAAACCAAACTATGACATCTAAATATTTATCATCTCTAATTAGTGCAAGAACATGAACAAAAAGCAACCATA